CGAGATGGTTTTTGATGGCTTGCACGGTTTAAATAAAAGATAGTCAAAACCGATTTTTGCGATTCATTTGATGGGGGTTAGATCTCTTTGGCCCTCGCTGTAGTTTGTTGCAGCTCATTAGCAGTAGGAAAGACGAGCCCTTTCTTCTTTTCCCCTTAGAAAAGCAAATCCCGGAGTCTGTTTTCCTCTACACCAGCCTTCATTCGACTACTGTGGATAGGACGGGCATGGGGTACTGCTGTCCTTGAGTTGCAACACACAAGTCATTGCTAGTCGTGTCTCGGTTTGTGTTGCTGTTTGCAATATGTGTGACACAGAATCTATGTTATGTCACAGTGCTTTCATTTTGATTCTGGTTTGTACAAATTTCAGTTCACCCCGATGAAGTTTCGCTATTTCAAGCAGTGTTCCAAGCATCCACTGTTACTTTCCGGGTAGACATTGATTATGTACTTTTTTGTGATCATTTTATTGACTGTCGCGAACTATAGAGCCCCGAAAGTGTTGGTCCAAATGCCTTTAATGCGCTTAGTGGTTTCATCTTGTACCTTTTATAAGATGTGTAGTCATGCCATTGATTTTTATGCCATTTTATTTGTGACAGCCACAATAAAACGTTGCCATTTATTTTCAGGACTAGGCCGTCTTCATCTATTATAAGGCCCTCAATTGAAGCTTGTACTATCACGCCCACAAAGGGCCATAGTACTTTCCTTTAGGTGGTAAAAGTGATTCCATCAAGTCTACATTTAACCTGTAATAAAGTGGTTAACTGGGCCAGTTGGTTGCTGTTATACATGATGGAGAAACCACCTTTGAAAGCGCGGACTAGGAAGAACAAACACGACAGAATAGCCCTGTCCTCTCGTGTATGTTTTTCGTAGTCCGCGTTTTCTGAGCTGTTTTTTCATAGTGTACATTTAACCCCAAAGTGGATCATAGTTCCCTCCATAAGGGGGTAAAGTAAGTTGAAACTAGAGGCGTGTACTATTGCCCCCCAAATGGGGTAACTGTTCCCTCTATATGGAGCGAAAACCAGCCCCCTATAGCATGTGCCGTTGCCTCCAAAAGTAGGTAAAAGCATCGCCCTCAATTATGTTGTCTTACCTCTCAATATGGTTGAAGTTCCCCCCTAAACGAGGTAAAGGCTGACCTTGAAAGGATGCACTTTTAACCCCAAAAGGAACTAAGGTTACCTTCAAAAGGAGGCAATGTTGCACCCTAACCCAGGGGGTAAGTTTGCACCCTCGTTGCAGGGGTTAACGTTACCTCCAAAAAGGGTTAGCTCTGTGTGCAAATCGCTTACCCCCTTAAAAAGGGTACTACAGCACCTTTTTTTTTTAAGAGTGTGGTTAGGGGCAAACGGAGCTGATTGCTATCTCCCTCGCAGATTTGGAAAGCGTTTGAAAGCTACCATCGGCATTCACCATACGGCATGGTAAAATTGACACGGCTTCGACATATTCGCTCTTTGTACCCCTTTTTTTTTCGCCTTGTTTCTGAAGTTTTTGCACATGGCGAAGCCTTCTATATTCTGTTCGCTCTTAAGCTGAGACTGTCACCATACCTACAAGCGCGAACTAGCCCACGCTCCTGGCTTTGAGACGTGCATCTCTAGCGCGAGTGTTTATTCTGCGGAAGAACGCTTTAAAGCAGCAACCTCGAGCTCTCGTGCTCGTGGCATCGGCTGCATTCTAAACCTAAGAGTGAACAGAATATAGACGCGTCATGATGTTCTCCCTTCTGCTTCTCTTGTTTCCTTCTTTTCGTTTCATTGTTGTAGCCGGCGGAGCTCGCGCGCGCATGTCTTGGACAGCCGGTTGCGCTTTAGTCACCTTTTTGGATGATAAATTGGAGTAGCATTAAGGGTGCGATTCTGTATATAATGTGACCCATCCATCGTCCCGTGCAGCCATCACCCTGATTATCGTCATCATCACCACCGACCCCGATAGCTCGCGCTGCCCCCTCGGGGCAGCGCCCGGGTCAGTTTAAATATAAAGATAATTGAAACCGGTCGTCAAGCCTCTGTCTCCTTCACAATAAATATAAGGTATCCTAGTGAGGGTTAGTCAGCCTTTCAAGAACAATCGAAAACCATTCCACACAGCGCTAGGTGACGGAGCATTAAACACTTAACCCATCTGTGATTCCCGTCTCCAATACTAACGCCCGTTTGTCCATGTCTTCAGCACTGCTCCCATCGACGCCATCATAATCAGGACACACATAGAAGATAGCATTTCTGGTACAACGTGCAAAATCACGGGCCCAAACGTCTTCCTGCAGTCATGGAACTTGTACGAAACATCAATGGTGAGAAAATTTGTTATCTTGAAGCGAATCACTGAAATGTTACAGGAGCAACCCATGTGTTGGTAACCAAATATACAAGGTATTCCACGTAACTTGAGCTAAGGTTTACATATCTTTGGTGCTTTTAGAAATACGAAACCAAGCGAATAAGTATTTTCATTGTTTGGAGCGTCAGGCTATTTTTTTATTTTTGCCAATTAAATAATTAGTTTTGCTTAATGAATTAACCTTTTTAATATTTACTTTAGAGCAAACGTTCCAGTGACAAATATGCAGAGCGTCCCCAGAAGCATCCAATCAAGTGTTTTTTTTATCAAGAAACCTTCGAATTTTTTTTTCTTTATGAGCTTCGAAATAAATTTTTTATTTATGAAAAAAAAGTGTTACCTTGAGCATGTGCACGTTGTAGTGTAGTGCTTTCAGCCGTGGCTTCAATATACCATGCATGAATGCTAAATTGAGCCCTGTTGACTGAAAGCTGTTTGAGAAATTCGCATTTTTTTATAATTCGGACATTTTTTTTGAAGCCCGGAAGAACGAACCTTGTTAGAGGTTTCTTAAATAAAACCACTGAATTCGATGTTTCTGGGGACGCTCTACAACTTTGTCATTTGAGCTTTAGCTTACAATTGAATATTTCAAAAGTTCATTGCTTGGTCTTAATTAATTAGTTCATTGGAAAAAACAAAACAAATATATTGACTCGTTAGAAACAATGAACAAAATTATATGTTTGCTTTGGTCTTCTTAAAATGCACCAAAATATTTCTAAATCTTGGCTCAACTTACATGGAATACCCTGTATATGCGAGACTATACTCTACAGGGCCGACACCATCTAGAATAATCACAGCCTGTGCACTAAACCTCTGACGTCATCACGGTGAGATTGAGAGAAAACACAAATTGGAAACGGGTGCTGCGTCAGCGCTCGGCGAAGCCTCGTGTCCAATCAACGCATTGAAGGACCTCTGGCACCGGGCTCAGGTTCACTTGTGCCATCAAACAGTGGTGACGTTCTATGGCGGAGGGGGAGGTCGCTCGCAGGCCTTGATTGATCGAGGTGGTGTTAACAGCGTATTCTAGATTACCGATCTTTTGTGCGGTCGGGAAATGAAGTTGTCTTGCTTCAAGGAAATATAATTTTCGTTTTTTGTCATATAACAGTTGGAAGTACACCACATGTCACGAGGCAGAATATAATACTGTATCGCTTTGCTTCCTGACTCTAACTCAGCTAAAACTCTTTCTGTCTCTTCTTGACGTTTAACATGTGGTGATCTAACTTCAGGGTTTGTCCAGTGGGTTTCCCACGAAAAACCACCAAACCTCCTTCACGTGTTCTACGATTTCAAAATTTATATTCAACCCTATTATTTTGGAATGCACGGAGCGCTTCTTCGAGTACACCAAAGTGACTTTCACACTTGGTTGTCCTCAAGAGGCTCAACCCTATGTATACTGTTTTAAGCTACGTTGCCAAGGCTAGCGCCGCCTCCAGAGTGATTCACCCCGGCTGCTGCCAGAGCAATGAACGTTGCTTCGTCTCTCGTCTCATTGTCACCGCTCGCGTCCGAAGTGGACGTTTTCGAGCACTGCGAAAGCCACGCTAGCCTTGCAATTGACCCAGAAAAAGTTTACAAGGAGTGTAGTTGTGTTAAAGAGATCCATCTGTAGGCACTTCTTACTGTTCCATTATAAGTTCCCGGTCAATTGCTTTTATTATTTTCTCTTCGTTTATTCTCATTTACATCCTGCCTACTGCGCATTTAGGCATTATGCAACGGAAGTGTGTGTGTATGTGGGGGGGGGGGGGGGGGGGTCACATAAACAAATGCGTAGAAGAAACAAATTAAAAAAACAAAGAGAAACACAACATACAAACCTTTATACTTGAACACAAGTTTGTATCGTTCCGTAAAAACAGCACCCTCTGGAATTAAAACTAACTCTCCTTGAAGTAAATTGCAGTCGTGACTAATCTGTACAAGGCATAAAAAAAGTACAAAACTAAGTCTGATAGCAGAATTTTTCTCCTTTTTTAACGTGAAACGTTCTTTCACTGGGTGTTCGGCATTTCGTTAAGCCCAAAAGTGAAGCCTGGATAAAAGCGTGGCCGCGAAGCTCGGCTCTGATTGATTCTGACTGCAAGAGAAAAGGCCATCGCAGTGAAAAAGCGCTTCCGCCGCATGGGAATCGAGCCCAAACCATTTCGATCGTTAAGCGAGTGTCGTTCCAGCATGTCACGACACTCTTTTTTTATTTACTACCGGTTTCTTAACATGTAAAATCAAACACAAGGACACAAGCATAAAGCGAAGCAAGCTAAAAGTAAATGGAAGTTAAAAAGTCGAGCCAACGTTTGGCTAGCGCTCAGGTTCTAAAATTGCCTCATCGACAGCAAAACTTGGATGGTCAGGAGTCACTCAGAAACGCAGTGCTGTGTGTTCCTGTCTTCGAAGTTTGTTATTACACCTTCGTGGAAGTACTCCCCTGCCTCACACGCATCGCTGTCGGCATAGCGCACGGCCATTGGAATACTCTAGATACTATGTGTTGTATCAGCGATTTCGTATTGTGCGCTGGCCTAGCCATGTATCAGCATTGGGGAGCGCACTTTAGCGCCTGCTGTGATAACCAGCGCCGCCGGGTAATCTTTTATTCGTTTTTACCTATATAAAAAGATACGCGAACTGTATGTACAGCAGATGCTGTCTGGAAATAAACTTGTTGAAACAGACTGCGTTGGCCCATGTAACAAATGGCGACGAGGATGGTATTGTGAAGCCAGACCAGCCAGACGCAATGACGTCCTCCCTAGGAAAGCTGGCAGAGTTCTGCCAGGACACAGGCAACATCGACATCTATCTCGAAAAGTTCGAGCAGTTTTCAAGTGCCAACAGAATTGACACCAGTAAGAAGCTGCCAGTCTTCTTGACAGTACTAGGAGAAAAGACTTACGTGACGCTGCGCAGTCTGCTGTTGCCGAAGACGCCCACCGAGGTGAAGTACGAAGATTCGGCGAAGGTACTGCAGCAGCACTACGCTCCGAAACCGTCCGTGGTTACGTGAGGGACCACTTCTATCGGCGACACCAGGAGCAGAGTGAAAGCATCCCACAATTTACCGTGGCACTGAAAAGACTGACTTCGACGTGTTCCTTTGGAAACTTCCATGAGGACGCTCTTCGAGACCGGCCGATTGCCGGAAGACGGACGCCATCAGGTGCCGTCTTCTTGCACAGCCGGACAACGAGGTGAATAAGAGCGAGCCTGCAACATCGTCACTGCCATGGAAGCAGCACAAAAGGACACCAAGGACATGCTGGGTGACACCGCCACAACAAGCTCCGAGGTCGTGTAGAGGCAGTGCGGCTTCGGCAAGTCACGCAAGCCGGCCGCGACAAAGCAACTAGGAATAAGCAGCGAGACGTCAGCCGCCAGAAAGGTACCTGCCAAGAAAAACCAACCAAAATGTTCACGCTTGTCATAGATGCGGCGGACAACATGCGCCTGTAAGTTGCCCTTTCTTGAATAGCCGCTGCTTTGTGTGTTCCAAACCAGGGCACGTAACCAGAATGTGCAGGACAGAGGTCGTGTCCAAGATTGAAGAGAGAATCGAAGAGAAAGACTTGCTTGCGAATTGTAAAGCGAACAATGCTAGAAGTCCGCCTCCCATCGTTGTTTGGCTTACGTTCAACGGTAAAGAAACTGCGATGGAATTAGATACCGTCTGTTATTATTATAATGTTATAATGTCAGAAAAAGACTTTGCCGAGCATTTTCCAAATAGAGCATGCCGGAACGAAGATGTTAATCTCGGAGTGTACAATGGTACTTCCATTGGCGTAAAGGGAGTTGCGCAGGTCGAAGTTAGCTATGGAAATGAAACGTATCACTTGCCACTCGTAGTTGCTAGACAGGAAAACGGTGCTAGTATGCCGGCTCTTCTGGGTCGTGGCTGGCTCGCGAAAATTAAGATAGACCTTCATGACGCTGTGCAGAATCTACGCGAAGTTGCGCTTAAAGTACTATCGCGGACAATATGAGCTGAAACAGCGCTCCGCCCAGCGCGCTGTGCTACCTGCGCCGCCTGTCGCCTTGCTCCGCGCACACGGCACAGACTGGGGCCGAAATAAATTCTCCCTTGCGCTCGCTGCGCCACTGCGCTCATCCGACAGTCTGCAAGTGAGACGGCGGGTGCGACAGCGCGCATGTGTGTAGTAGGGCGGGGAAAAGGGGGGGGGGGGGGGGGGGGGACTAAAGATTACACTTGTTGTCCCTCTTTTGGAATTGATCTATTTTACTCTATCGCGCAGAATCACGTAGAAAAAACGCTGACTGGGGAAGAAAAATTGTTGAAGTTTCCTAAATTGCAGCTGCGATTACCGTTTTTGAAAGTCACATCAAAAGACCTTGCAGGTTGTTTTTGTTTGATTAAGTACAAGCCCAAAGTAAGACATAGTTATATATAGGCTAAAATCTGTATGCCGGATTTAGTCCGGCTCCAAGGAATTTACTTTCTTTTTTTCTTTTTTATTGTCCACAGCTCTTTAAAAAACGGTAACCATACAAGTTACTGAGAAGGTGTTGCCATTTGGATTATTATGAAATCGTTCAAAAGTATTATTTCTTTATTAATGGGCCCACGTGTTTGTTTCAAACAAAACAAGTTGCTGACAAGACACCAGTTTTTTGTTTACAAATTCCTAGTCTTAATATAGTGGGACAACCAGTCATATATTTGCCAGGAGAAGGAGCCTGAAACTTCATCGAAAGAATATTTGCAGAGGGCAAGGTCAGACACCAAAGGTTATTAGTCGGCGTGGCAGTTCAAGTGCAATATACAAGAAGATCGGGATCAAGGAGGCACCACACAAAAGCATGCCTGGTTAACGGCGTGAAACAGTGTGTCGCAACCGTAGCATCTAGCTTTGTTCCAATCGGCAGAAGTTCGATTCAGGGGGTCCTGAGGCGCAGTGAAACTTACAAAATAATTTAATACTGCGTCATTTTCCCTGACGTGTGATTGCGGCTCTGATCATGTTTGATGAGAAATCATAAAGCGTGGCAACGAACTCTGGCTCAGCCCGAAGCCACTCCCATTCATCTCTCATTGCTTTCCACAATTTGCGGTCAGTGGCGCGGTGACATGGCTACCTTGATGCGCCTCCAAATGTGTTTGATGATATTCAGATCGGCTCCTTTCGGAGGCCAAGGCAGCTTCGTCAGGCAGCGTTCCGCGAATAGATACGAGCGTGACAACGCATTTTCTACTTCGGCGCTTTCTTGAAATGCACTGAAATGCATGTTAGCTGAAAACGTGAACATTGAGCTACACGGCACGCGCATCGTGATGTTAGTTCCGTCGGCCAATATTTTCGCTATCAGACGGCCGGAAGAGCTCAGCGGCGCAGTGAGCACAAGTGAGAATTTATCTTGGCCTTAAGGTGCGCCGTGTTTACGAAGCGATGAGGCAGGCGGCCCAGGTAGTACCGTGTACAGGCCGGATCGCTGTTTCAACTCATATTGTGCGCGATAGTACAAGCGGCAAGAAACACAGAAACAGTGAAGGCACAAAAATGCCTAAAAGAGCAGTATGCTGACATGTGTGAACCCGGGTATGGAGCTATCAAGGGCTTCAAAGGTAGCCTTAGGTTAAAAGCCGACGCAAATACCGTTTTTTTTTTTGTTTTTTTTAAAGGCGAGACGAGTTTTATATGCTTTGCGCGAGCAGGTGGAAAATAATTGGCAGACTTAGAAAAGGCGGATGTCATTTACCGGGTCAGGCACAGGACGTGGGCTCTAGTAATCGTGCCGAAAAGTGGTGGCAAAGAAATAAGGATGTGTGGGGACTACAGAGTAACGGTGAGCCAGGCCATTGAAGTGAACCACTATCCTTTACCACTTCCTGAGGACATCTTTACGACCCTGGCTGGTGGAACCGTGTTTACAGTTTTGGACCTCTCTAGGGCCTACCTACAGCTCGTGTTGGACGAGCGAGCGCAACAGCTGCCCCCGGTAAACACGCATACCGGCCTTTTTAGGTTTTTTTAGGTTCCAGCGGTTACCATATAGCGTAGCAAGGTGCACCCGCCATGTTACAGGCCGTGATGGACAAGGTTTTACAATGCATTCCTGGTGCTGCCTGTTACTTAAACGACGTGCTGATTGCTGGCGTAGACCAAGCAGAGTGCTACAGTCGCACAGAGCAAGTGTTATAGGCGCTGAGTGAACACGGCATCAGGGTGAACGCAACGAAATGCAATTGTTTTCAAGAACGAGTTCAGTACCTGGGACACGAGCCAGATAATCGGGGTCTCCATCCTACAGCAGACAAGGTGAAGGCCATTCGAGGTGCGCCAAAACCCAGTAATCTGACACAGCTGAATCCCTCTTTAGGACGCGTAAACTTCTACGCAAAATTTTTGCCAAATCTCGCAAATTTGCTAGAGCCTCTCCACCAGCTGCTACGGAAGGGCAACGTATGGAACTGGTCGATCCAGTGTGACGAGTGTTTTATACGTTGTAAAGAGCTGCTCAGCCGCGACTTGGTTCTAGAGCTGTATGACGTGAAAAAAGAAATACACCTGACGTGTGATCCCTCTGTGTATGGTTTAGGTGCGGTTTTGTCACACGTGGTCGATGGCGTAGAAACACCGATAGCATTTACGTCATGATCTATGACTCTAGCAGAGCGTAACTATGAACACATTGAAAAGAAAGCGCTGGTCATCCTCTTTTGAATAAAATTGCATAAGTATCTGTCTGAACGAACCTTCACCGTAGTAACAGATCATCAGCCACTTGCGGTGATCTTCGGTGCAAAACACTATACCAGTGCAATAGCGGCTGCTAGAGTGCACCGTTGGGTCATATACCTGTCCAACTATCGGTTCCGCATTCGGCACAAAGCTGGAAAAAAAAATTACCAACGCCGATGGCTTGTCCCGTTTTCCGATGTCTGAAACCGCCGATGACAATGAGGACATTTTTTTTCTTTTCAACTGTTAGGGAACTGCCGATAACCGCCAAAGTTATTAAACGAGAAACCCCGAAAGACGCGATCTTGAGTGCAGTGCGCGAAACGACCTGGAACGGTTGGCCCCGATCTGTTAACGAACAGCTTCAGCCTTTCTTTGTTAGGCGCTTTGAACTTTCTGTGGATGACGGTTGCTTAATTTGGGCCAACAGAGTGGTGGTATCACAGCCTTTGCAAAAGGAAGTTGTGTCTTTGCTGCACGGACAGCGTATTGGTATTACCAAAATGAAGGCACTAGCCAGCTCCATGGTCTGGTGGCCAGGAATTGACAGCTGTCTTGAACAGAGTGTGAGACAGTGGGACATCTGTTAAAGTGTTAGATCAGTGGGGCAGCCAGCACCCTTGATCCCTTGGAGGTGGTGCACGAACAGTTGGGAGAGAGTACATCTCGACTTTGCTCAAAAAGAGCACAACATGTTTCTTGTGGCTGTAGATTCCTACTCGAAATGGGTAGAAATAATGATCATGAGCTCTACCACGGCTCAAAAGACGGTGGAAACAGTGCGGTCATTGTTTGCAAGTCATGGTTAACCATGTGAGGTAGTAACAGCTAATGGGCCGCAATTCCGAGCAAAATAATTTGAAGATTTTTTGTCAGCTAACGGTGTTAAGCACACCCTCACGCCGCCGTATCATCCGCGGTCTAATGGTTCAGGAGAACGCGCAGTATAAACTGTAAAACAGTCGCTGCTGAAGCAGTCGTTAGAAGACAAAAGAAACAGGTTCCAGGACCCTTCAACACGAAGTTGATAACTTTATTTTTGGGTACCGAACGACTCGACATAACTTTACTGGAAAAACACCAGTAGAATTATTTTTGAAGCGCAAGTTGCGCACAAGGTTATCCATCTTGAAACCAAGTCTTGAAGCCTAAATTATGGCCAAATTGGGGAGGGTGTTGTGTCCAGCAAATAAGTGTCGTGACCTGCCACATGTGGTTTGCGCTGGTTATTATGTGATTGTACGTGCTGCCCGCGGTGAGATTATGAAGTGGCGCCCAGGAAAAATTGTTAAAGTCCGCAATGACGTAC